ACCCTAAACCCCCTAAACCCAAACCCGCTCCCCGACCCAGCTCGTGAGTCGGCACTGGGGGCTCCCGGCGTCATGTTCTCGTCCGCCCATGTCATGAACTGCCTCGGCTTAGGGTTTAGGGTTTAGGGTTAGGGCTGTTCTCGAAGTCTCTCTCCTGCTTTGAGGGGGCTAGGGGAGGTTCCTTTAAGAGCTCCTTTTAAGGGCTCCTGGAGGTTCCCTTAAGAGTTCCTGGATCTGGTTCTAGGCTTTCATCTAAATCCACGCATCTGTAAGCTCTTTCAAGACGCATGTTGCCGCCGAAAGAAAAACCACTTGGGGCACTTCATGTGCAGAATGCAGAGCCCCCCCAAAAGCTGGATTATGTACAGGTCTTAGTAATCCGCGTAAGATCTCGTATATTCTGCTATCCATTACTAGTAATTAACTTCTTGGGGGAAGCCGGATGAAGACTACTGCGAATTGCAGGCCCCTTGTGAGGTCGAAGATATCGCGGCATACTTTCACTCTCGGGTTCTCTGCACCAATCAACTCTCGGCACCCAAATCCCGAACCCTGGTGTTCAAGGTTTAGGGCCGTTTGGGGTTTATGTTTAGGGCTTATAGGGTTTCTGTACAGTTTAGTGTTTAAGGTTTCGGGTTTAGGATGCCCTAACCGGACACCCGCGATGTGGCTTCAAGCATAGGCAGGTTCCGGCAAGCAGCCCGGGAAGGGAGTCTTTGGATGTCTCAGCATTGAAGCTGTTCACCTGTGCCACCAGAGATTAAACTCGCAGAGGCGCCGGAACAAGTACTTAGGTACAACAGGTTATCACCCTGATGATTAAGATTGCTGGTATGACATTGGTATGACTATGTTTATGATTCTGGTGGTTATTACATTGATTACATCACTCCTATGTTCTGGCCTCACAGCGGCACCTGCCCTTGAGGTGCATGTGTGGCTGGTCCGCCCATAATAACTTCGGGTATATAATCATATTCGACGTCCATCCAGATGACAGGTCAGGTAGCAAAGCCTTCGGGCAAATATACAGCCGAGACAAACGAGAAGGGTCGACATAGTCTGTGTCCGAGCCCGAGCCCGGCCGCTTCGCGTGTGTGTGCGTGTGTGTGTGTGTGTGTGTGTTGGGCCGGCCATTTAGGCAATCTAAAATGGCGATTCGTATGACTTGGTTTTGCCCAGCGGACTCAGCAATTTTCAAAACAGATGAACAAATGAATAAATAAACACGTGTGATTATATATATATATGTATGTATGTGTGTGTGTGTGCGTGTGTATGTAAATATGAGAATAACCACAAAGTTATTACTCTCTCTCTATATATATATACACATATTAAAGCACATAAGAAAGCGAACTAACAAAGAACAACATGTGGTAAAACACAGCTATGATAGCTATAACTGCAGCTATACGTGCAAACGTGCATGTACATACAAAATAAGCATGTGTGTAGATTGCATATGTGTATGTGTATATCTATATCTATATCTATATCTATATCTATATCTATATCTATATATATATACACACATAATTCTAGATCGTGTCTCATGTATTGATCTACGCACAAAGCTCTCGAAACAAGCTGGCGATACGTCTACTGAGTCACTCCACCACTGTCGAAGAGCCATAATACAATGCTCCTCCCCCCACACGCTGCCAAACACCTGCCAGCGAAAAGACTGCGCGCCTCGTTGCAGAAGGTCTTGATCATGGCCTCACCGTCATGCCCCCCAGTGTAGTATAACAGAGTAGAATAGAATAGAGTATGTTACGCTGTAGTGGTGCATACTTATAATTGCAATATATATCTATATATATATATATCCGAATCATAAAACGCTAAGGCCGGAACCTCCACGTCGAAAAGCTGCCGGCAACGCTTCACCGCGTCGTCGAGGCTGGTGCCCCGGAGCTTGCCAAACCTGCGCGTGTAAGACTTGGGCCGTAGTACTCTACCTATAGTCTCCATTGTAGTCCCTTTTTTGGTTTCACTCTAGGATTTAGGGTTTAGGGTTTTAGGGTTTAGGATTGACGGTTTAGGGTTTAGGATTTAGGGCTTAGAGTTTAGGGTTTGCTGCCTAATTAATCTATATTAAGGATCCCAAAAGGCAACCCCCAAAAGGAACTACAATGGAGACTATAGGTAGGGTACTTTAGGATTTAATCTGGCGAACCTAAACCCGAAACCGTGGCGTAGGACTTGGGGTTGCGAGGCATTGCTGGGTGTGTGATGCAGCTACATAGGTGGTAGTTCTCTAAATTAGGATTCCTGTTTCTTGGTGTCAAAGACAGTACAGTGCAGCAGCCTTATCCAATCGGACCCGAAAAGGGACCCTAATTTAAAGAACTATCGACATGGAGATGACCGAAGGGTTTTGGCAGTTAGGCTTTCTTTCAGAAACTGTTCACCCTAAAACATGAACTCGGAACCCTCGACCCCCCTAGACCCTAAACCCCAAATCCTGAATACCCCAAACCCTAAACGCCCTTAAACCCTAAACCATCCTAAACCCTGCCCTAAACCATCTTAAACCCTAAACCCTGAATACCCGAAACCTTAAACACGCAACTGATGAGTAGACGGTGCCTCGCCTGTTTCTGGCGTGTTCGTCCAAGTCCTCGGCAGGATCTCTAGGTAACGGTTTAGGGTTTAGGGTTTAGGGCAACAAGTCCCACAGAAAACCGATTAGGGTTTAGGGCTTAAGGGGTTTAGGGTTTAGAGGTTAGGACGGTTAGGATTTAGGATGAAAGGGCTTGGGGTTCTGGTATTATAGACCCTGTAGCCCTATATTTCAAGTCCGCGGATGCATCTGGTGAAGCCATCGTTCTGGGTTCCATGGCAGCCGAGACATGTAGGATGTTAACAGTGATCCCGGCTGAAGCAGCTTCCAACCAAGAGCTCATACTTTAGGGCCCATAGTTGGGCTGAAGGATTTACAGCCCCCAAGGACAAAAAAACAAACAACTGACAATATTCAGCCCCAACATCCTGGACCCCCTGAAGTTGAGAATGCTCCCGAGAAGCACTGCGTGAGTCCCGACGAAGCATACAGCGGCAAAACTGATACACATGGCAAACTTACGTAGAAGTATTCTTGGGCTCCAAGGTGGACGACTCTAAGCACATATGCAGTCTCCAGGCGTTCTGCCATTACGTCACAAAGGCCTGTGACGCTGTTTTGCGAAACTTATCGTGGCATGTATGATGAGTGAGCAACGACTGTACAACGGAAATTCGGCAAATCGTGAATCCAAGCATCGGCGCGGCGGATGTCGTCCTGGAATCGCTGTTTTACAGTCGAGGGTCCGTTGGTTTGGTCTAGGAGTCTGGGGTTTAAGTTTGGGGTTGAGGGTTCAGGGCGCGCAATTACAACCCTGGGCCTGCGAGAGCTGAACTAAGAAACTTGGGGTTTTGGATAATCGGATAACGAAGACGGACTGCACCTTTGAGGGAGCGTCCAGTTGCCACTTTGAGCGATCCACCCCCGGTTCGATCAGAAGCTGCTGCTGGGAGCTGCTTCGACAGGCATCACGACACATCTTCTACATGTATGCATTTTTACCTACATTTTGCTGTTACTGCTTGCTTCTGTTCACATGTAGCCAAGCTGTATGTCTATCTGTCTACTTGTCTTGTTTCAATGTGCCCACACACTCGCGCGCACACATACGCACGCCCATGTGTATTGTTGTTCAGCTTCCCACTATCAATATCACCCCCCCCCCCCAAGTAAAGCTTACCCGGACATGCGGTTTCTATATCTGGAATTGTCATTGTGATTTGGGAAAGCATCCACCCGATAACCCCGAAACAGTACCCCTGTGGATCCGTAGAGGAGCCCTTACAGGGACCCCGATCGATCCCTTGAAGGAACCCTGAAAAGAACCCACTAACAGTACTTAGGACATTTGGGTTAGAAAGCAGAGAGCACGGAGGCGCCTCATTGAGTCCCAGGGCTTTGCCGAGGTCGGCGGTGAGGCGATTCTCGTAGTGGGTGGGGTTTCCTCAGCACGATATTTTCCAGGGGCGCTAAGACATATGATGGGGTGTTGGGGTACATTACAACTATAAGTATGTGGCTACATGAAGGACTGCTTAAGATTAGTCTTGGGTATAATTGCAATTGTTCGATCACCGAATTATCGTCCTGCTTTCACTGGAAAGGGCTGCGGGAGGTTCGGGTTTTCGGGGACGAGGAGCTCTGGGGTTGCGGGTTTCGGGGTTGGTCCAGGGTTTGGGGTTTAGGGGTTTAGGGTTCAGGGTTTGGGGGTGTTGAATTTTGGGAGCTTAAGCTTTGTGCGGACTGCAGTTTGGCGTGTGGACTGCCTGCCTGCATCTTCCATATATGCTGGTACCAAGGCCTCTGTGACGTCATGAACACTAAAGCCTAAGCCCTGAGCCGCAATCGGGCTAAGGGTCCATTGCCGGGATGGTAATCCCCACGCGCTAGCCCCCAAACGCTCGAAAACCAGAAGCCTGTAGTCGTACTATAGGGACCCAAGCAAGAGTTAAGTTTGAGAGTTTGGGTTTTAGGGTCTATTCTTTTGCTTGGTGCACGCACAAACCGGGGTTTAGGGGTGTAGAGTGTAGAGGGTCAGGGTTGAAGGTTTTGTTCTCACGAGGGTTTCTGATGCTTTCAGTTGCTCGTAGAACTAGGCGTTGCGACTATGTTGGCAGCTACTCTACTAAATTGAAAGATTGCTCATAGTAGGGGTGCGGTTATGTCTTGTCTTACGAATGATCGTTGCTGTAACGACTTACGCCGCTAGTACCAAAAGATCACCACGTGTGCCAATTGTGAAGGTCACGGCTAGCGTTACCTTAACATCCTCCCAATCTTTGTTTAACCGTAAGTCAACAGCGGCCGGGGTAGTCGGGAAAACATGGTCGCAGTCTTCTACGGTTCAAGCTTGCAAACTTCTACCTTCAACCCTAAACTCCACACCGTACCAGCTGCTAAGCTACGGCCTAAACCCTAAACCCTAAACCCCTAAGCGGTTGAGGCCTAGGGGCCGTCGTCGCTGGCAACGCCACGGCTCAGGTGGTCCATGGCAAGCATCTTGATTGCCATGACCTGTGCTTTTGCTGAAAGAGGCCCTAAACCCCAAACCCTAAACCTCTTCTACGAACGGATTATTCCGCAGGTGGTCTCATTACACGCAAACTCGTACAGGTACATGGAGGGCCAATAATACCGGCGGGCCTCTGTGGTCAAAATAGGGTATTCTAAGGAAGCCCTAACATTAATATCGGTACTTATTTAAGGCCCTATATTAATTCTAAACCCAACATCTGCCCCGACTCCTTGTGAGATGCCGTAAAATTAACTCTGGCATGCTGTCGGTATTGGTCTAGCAAAGGTGAACTGTCGCAAATCTGCTGTACGCCTTTGCAAGTATGTGTGTGTATATATATATATGTATATGCTACCCCCCCCTCAGTTATCTACCTTTCTCGTGGCTTTCCAGGGCACGTGGAGGAGCATGTTCCCAAAACTCGGGGCCATGTTCAGTTTTTAATGCGAACCCGTGTTTATCGGCTCTGGCATTGTGCTGTGGGGATCGTCTTCATCTAGGCCGTGCGTAATATAGCCAACGCAATGAAACGAAGCTACCCCCAAGGCCTATACCAGGCTAGCGGCAGGATCACTATTCTCCTAACCAATAAGGTTTAGAGTTGAGGGCTGCATGTAAGCTAAGTTGTCAGGTTGAAAACAAGTTTCCGGTTCACGCTTTGGGGCTAGGATGACCATTCATTATATTCCTGCAGTTCAGCGGTTGACATTTCGGGCAGTTTTTGTTTCAAAAGGGGACCGAGGGTAACATCAGAGTCGCCAGT